TTAACCAACATTCCTATGAATAATTGACCCCTTACGCCATTTGATCTACATTCCAACGAAGTATTGATCAGTTACACTCTTTAACCTACATTTATTCGAATAATTGCCCCATTACGCCCTTTGACCTACATTTCTACAAATAGTTGACCTATTACACCTTTTGATTAACATGCATACGAATAATTAATCCATTATGCCTTTCAACATTCCTACGAATATTTGATCCATTACGCCCTTTTAACTACATTCCTTTGAATAATTGACTCATTACGCCCTTTGACCTACATTCCTACGAATAAATGATCAATTACGCCATTTGACCTACATTCTACGAATAATTGACCCATTACGCCTTTTGATTAACATTCCTACGAATAATTGATCCATTACGCCCTTTTTCCTACATTTTTACGAATAATTGACTCATTACGCCCTTTGACTAAGATTCCTACAAATAAATGATCAATTACGCTCTTGAACCAACATTCCTATGAATAATTGACCCATTATGCCCTTTGACCTATATTCCTACGAAAAATTGCCCCATTACTCCCTTTAACCTACATTTCTACGAATAATTGATCAATTACGCTTTGACCTACATTCCTACGAATAATTGATGAATTACGCCCTTTGACCAACATTCCTACGAGAAATTGAACCATTAAGCCCTCTGACCTACATTCCTACGAATAATCGACCCATTACGCCCTTTAACCTACATTACTAGGAATAATTGCCCCATTACGCCTTTTGATTAACATTCCTACGAATAATTGATCCATTACGCCATTTTACCTACATTCATACGAATAATTGAGCCATTACACCCTTTGACCTACATTCATACGAATAATTGTTCCATTACGCTCTTTAACCTACATTCCTACAAATAATTTTTCCATTACGCTCTTTAACCAACATTCCTATGAATAATTGACCCATTATGCCATTTGACCTACATTCCAACGAAGTATTGATCAATTACACTCTTTAACCTACATTTATTCAAATAATTGCCCCAATAAAAAATTGGTCTAAATTCAAAGCGTTATGTTTGGTGCAAGCCAAACACAAGGCATCATTCAGTCAACACCATCCCAACTGTCAAGCATGATGATGCTTTTCATCATCAGGGATTGGGAAGCTCGTCAGGATTGAAGGGAAGATGGATGGTGCAAAGTACAGGTGAATCCTAGAGGAAAACCTGCTTGAGTCACCCAATAATTTAAAACTGGGTCGAAAATTCACATTTCAGCAGGACAATGACCCCAAGCACAAGGCCAAAGCCACATTGGAGTGGTTTCAAAAGAAGAAAGTGAATGTCCTGGAGTGGCCCAGTCAAAGTCCTGACTTGAATCCAAAGATAATTTTTGGAAATACTTGAAGATTGCAGTCCATCAACGATCCCCAACTAACTTGTCAGAAATGAGACAATTTTATCAAGAAGAATGGGCAACAATTACACCATCCCATTGTGCAAAGCTGGTAGAGACCTATCCAAAAACACTCACAGCAGTAATTGCTCCCGAAGGTGATTCCACCAAGTTCTGACTTAGGAGACTGAATACTTATGCAATTAGCTGACTTCAATTTATATATTTTCTTTGCAGGTTTTGGTGACATTCAACCTTCTTCACACATAACAGTGTTAAGTTT